TTTTCTCTGTTCCTACATCTCTCTCCTCTCCTTCTGGAATTCCTATAACTCTTATATTTCCTTTCCTCATGGAGTCAGATAGTTCCCGAAGTCTTTCTTCATTCTTTTTCCTTCGTACTTCTCTTTCCTTTTCTGTTTTGGTTCTTTTTATTTCTGTGTCTTCAAGAGTACTTATTCGTTCTTCCATTTCATCTATTCTGCTTTCATTGCTTTTCCCAGAGTTCTTTAGTTCCTCCATTAATTCTTTGATCTCCTGCATTTCTTTTACTTCCCTCTTTAGGGACTCTATTTCCTTCTTCTGATCTATCACTTTTTTAATCATGGCAATTTTAAATTCTCTTTCTGGAAGGCTCAGAAGTTCTTCCAAGTTGCTGTCGTTGCAATCTGGGGAGTGGTTTTCTTTTGTGGTGTGCTTCTTTCCTGAGGAGTTGTTAGGTTGCGTGTGTTTCTTCTACTCCCTACTGTCTGTTTTCTAATTTGTCGTATGCGTTGGGACACTGTGTTGCTCGGACTGACTGACATCTTGGGTGAACTTCTCCGCTCCCCTCTGGCTCTTCCAGGAGCCATCTCTGTCTTCTGGGGGAGCTTTCTGCTGGTTTTAGGCAGTTTTTACTGAAGAAATGTCCCTGTTCTAAAATGGCAAAGCGGGATGCAGTCCCTGCGCCTCCGGTTTCAAGCACACTCTTCTGCGCCCCCGGTCTGCCCCGGACGTGGGTGCCTGCTCCCTCTGTGGGCTCAGACTGCTGGTCGGAAGGGGCCTGGCGTGGGGTGGGCTAACTTCCCGGCTGGCCACTGGGTCCTCCAGAGGCCTTCTGCCCTTTTCAAGCAGTCTTAAGAAATTTCCTGTTCTATGGGGTGTTAGTGACTTTTTTTTTCTGGTCACTAGGTGGCGCCAGAGATCTCTCCTATTGTCCTTGGGGGGCTGTTTTTTGCCCCCCCACCCCGTGGGACAGGGAACAGAGCGGGAATGGTAGGGTACACCTCAACAGCTTTGGGGTGCTGTGTCTGCCTTGTGCCCCACCGTCGTGGAGAACCCACGCCCCAAATTTCGTGCCCCGGGTCTCAGTTCAAAGCCCTCAGGTCCAGGACGCGGGCTGTAGCCCAGTTCAGTGGCGCGGGAATGGCGCCTTTTGCATCCCCGCTCCCGTGCCTGGGCGCCTGGTTCCTGCTCACTCAGGGAGGGACTTTCACCCCCGTGAGGGCCTCCGCGCGTCTCCCCGCAAGCCTAGGTCGCAGGCGCGGGGACCTGGGCAGCCGGGATCCCGGTCCGCGTTTTCTTTTCAAGCGCGCCAAGCGCGCCGCTTTCCCGTGCAAGCTTACCGGCAGCCCGGGCTGTGTGCGCGTCTCCCGGGGTCTTTGTTCTTCTCTAATGGCGCCCGGAGGTCCTTCGTTCTTGTTGGCCGTTTTAGTGTGTTGTTTTCCTCCTCTCTGCCGGTCGGAGAGTGCCGCCTCTGTGGGCGGGGGAGGGGAGCAGGGTTCTGCGCTTCCCTCCCTTCTAGTCCTCTTTTATGGCCACTTTCTTCTTCGGGTAGTTTGCTGGAGTCACCCGTTTATCTTCCGTGTCCCGGTTCTCACTGGGACCTGCCGCTTTTCCTCCCTATTAACTTTTTTTAATGGGAGATCTTACTCGCAGCGTCTCCTCACCGCCATGTTGCTCCGCCCCCTTCATGCCAACATTCTATTCCTTGAACATTCCATGTTCATTACCACCCCAAAGCCTTTCAGGAATTCTGGTTTCTTCTTCCCAAATTGTTCTTGCCCTGAGTCTTTGCATGATTAGTACCTCATCTTTTAAGGCTCAGCTCAACATTTCACCATCTCCAAGAGGATTTCCCTCACCCTCCTCTGCAGTCATCCCTTTGATTCAACTATCCCGTCAACAAAAGTCTGTTTGTTCCTCTAATAGCAACTATCAACATGAAATTTCTTGCTTATACTTACTGTTTGCAGCTCTCTACCCTTTCAGTGTGAGATCCATAAAACTAGATATTATGTTTTTCCCATTACCTCTGTCACCCTTGAATTTAGAATAGTGCCTGGCAAGTATTTGGTGTTCCATCTCGTATTTGGAAAATTTAAATCTAAGTGAAGATGAAATCAGGAATAGAGAGGCCTTGGAGTTGAGTGAGTCATCAGTATGGACACTATTAATGATAAAAGTGTTCAGGAGAAGAGTAGGGTAGTAATCCAGGTACTGAATTCTCCCATGAGGGGAAAAGATGGACTGATCAGTGGACAATGCACAAAGAGTAGGAAAAAATGGTTCTACCGGGTGGCATGAACTTCAAAGGAGCAAATTTTGTGGTCAGGATGGAAAATGTCTCTCCCTTTCAAACAAGTGCTAAAAGGACACCTACATCACCACTTGGCCTTTAGGTAGGTAATATGTGAGAGAACAGTCTCCATTTGAGATAACCAGGGTATACTCAAGTTTCATTTAAAGAAAGGAAAATTCAGAGAAGTTAAGAGATGAGTTTTCTAATGATGTTTCCAAAGGGCGCAATGGAAGGTACAGGTTCTATAAGAGCAGTCATTCTCAACCAGAGTTCATTTTTTCACCCAGGAACATTTGGAAATGTCTGAAGACATTTTTTGGTGGTCATAGCTAAGGGACTATCAATGCCTCCAAGGGTAAAGCCCAAAAATGCCAGTAAACATGCACAACATAGCCCCCTTTAACAAGACTTATCCCAATCAAAATGTCAAAACTACCCCAAAAATGGATTGCTCAATCCAGATAGAGGATAATCAAAATTAGAGGGGATATAAGTTCAGTTGAGGATAATATTCCAGGGCACTCAGACATTGAGCAGTCACTGAGGCAATCAGATAGGGTATCATGATGAGATTAGTCCTGATAGATTCTGGGATGGGACTGGAAAGCCACAGCTGTTGCTGAAATTGAAGTCCACATATGAAAGGGGTAGTAGTTCCCTGAGGCAATTTCATCCTGTTCAATAGAGATCCTGGGTAATAAGATCCTGGCCCCAAGACCAGCCCAGTATAAGGTATTGCACAAATGGAAACTTAGGGATGTTAAGTTTGGCTAATTTCCCAGGATGTTCCAGTTTTAAATGGCTGGAGTATTTTTGTATTAATTTTCTTACATACTTTTACAGAATTTGATTTCTCCCCTCAGGTGTAGTCCCCATAAATATCCCACCATTACATCACCTGAGAACCATCACCATGGTCTCCTGTGCTATTTCCACCCCTGTTTTGATCCCTTTTCCTCCCCCTCCCCTGCTTTAAATAAATGCTTGAGTATTGTCTTCTGAGGAACTGAGAAGTCCTTAGAAAACATTAATCGTCAAGATGCATTGGACCTCTTATTTGCCCTTATTGTTTTCAATAATTTTCTTCAATTACTTCTTTTTTTAAAAGATTCATTTATTTATTTTATACAAGAGCCGGGGTACAGGCCAGATGCACAGGAGGGTGAGAGGATTCACCAGAGACAGAGCGGGGAACAGAACAGGCAGACTGACGAAATACACTGCTGAGGGGAGCAGCGGGCGCGGCAAGAGAGGTCAGCTGCACCATGTGGGACCCTCACTGGCTGGCCAGGATCGAACCGGTGCTGCAGAGGCTATGCGCAGCTTTACAGCATGGTGCTCAACCGCCTGTGCCACCAGGGGAGGCCCTACTTCTTTTAACAAAATAACAAGATGGAAAGATCATAACAGGCTCCATTTTAAAGTGCAAGTGCCTTCCTTAAAGATGCTTATCAGGGGCCTCCCCGGTGGCGTAGCGGTTGAGCGCTGGGTTGGGAAGCTGACCGCAGCCTCTGCAGCGCCGGTTCGATTCCCGGCTGCTCCCCGGCCACTGGAGGAGGGTCCCACATGGCACGCAGACCTCTCCTGCCGCCGCTGCTCCCCTCAGCAGTGTATTTCATCAGTCTGCCTATTCTGCTCCCCGCTCTGGCTCTGGTGAATTCTCTCACCCTCCCACGCTTCTGACTGTACCCAGTGCTTGCATAAATAAATAAATAAATATTAAAAAAAAAAGATGCTTATCAGTTCATCAGGAGCTAGACAGGGAAGAGGAAAACAACTAGCATGTATGAAACACATGTATCAGGTATTGTATCAGGTACACAGCAATTATACGAGCAAGGGATTCAGAAATCTGTTAATAGAGATGAGTAACGAGCTGCAGAAATTGTGAGTTTTCTAAATCATACAACTAGCATAAATTTATAGCTAAGATTATCACTCAGACTAGTGTGACTCTACTATGCAGCTCCCAGAACCATGTCTTACATTTGTAGGCACACTAAATTTCGGATGGATGGATGGATGGATGGATGGATGGATGATGACAGACAAAGCAACTATATGATTCATTCACATTTTTCCTCCTACTTGTCCTCTAGTTGTGGTATTTTTGAAAATATGATCCACTTCTGATTATCTATGACAGTAGAAGAGGTAGATAATAGAAATAATTAAAAAGGGAAGACAATCCAGACATAATTTCTATTTAATCTGGGAATTTTATTCCTACCCTTTTAAACAGCAGATTTACCAACCTAATTATATTTTACCTTGGCAAATATTAAAATTATTTTTCATTCCTTAAGCACACAGCAGCTGGTAGTGGGTAAGGCAAAGCTAGACAAACTCGATGGGGTGGGGGTGGGGGGAGTCAAGTTGAGACAAAAGAGTTCAAAGCAGAAAATTTATAAGCTTTATTACCTTCAAGTGACTGATGATGAGTGATGACGATTTTCTTTATAACCCCGGAAAAAAGCACTTTAAATTTAATAAGAGATAATGAGCCATTTCTCTCCAGAGGCTTTTCTATATTATAATCTATAAAGAGACACTGTTCAGGATCTCTTTTGAAAGATGCTGAACTGCCTGGTTCCCTCACCGTTGGTCCTATCTCAAAGTGAACACGTGGGATTACTAAAGAAGTAAAGTGGGCTTAAGCTGACTTCATCGATCTACTGGTCATCCTGACTCAAACCAGCTGCCCTGGTCACACTTCCCACTGACCTTCTAATCAAAGAGTATGTCAGACACCTTCTGGTGCTTCTAATGGGTAAGCCAGCAATGTGCAGTAAGATCCTGGGTTACAAAGGCTGGAACGGTTTCCTCTTGGTGGATGCTCTCTCGGTGGCTATGTGGAGGACCCTGGGAACATGAAGGCAACACTGTAAATGAAGTGTGGTAGTAGAATTGAAATGCTGGAACACAGAAAAATTAACCACCAAGTGGTTCCGTGTAGCTCCCTGGGAAAGCTGCGAGGCACAGCATCTAGGCAAAGGCTGAAGAGGATCACCTGGTCTCTGAAGGCTGCTGTGAAGTCCACTAGGCAGCTCGGTCACTGCTCTACTGCCCACACCCAGGGAACTTTCACCATTCCTTTCCCAGCTCCTCTGCTCAGGTTTCTGACAAATTCCACAACACTTCACCACCGCCAAGCCATGAATCCATGACTTTTCCTCAGAATCAGAGAGGGAAAGAAGGAGCTGGTCCTATTTGGAGTCCACTTAGGTCCAGGTAAATGCTTTAGCACTTTTGACTTCATACTGTTATCCCCTCAGGCTACCTGCCCAGCCCTAGGATTATGTTGAATGTCTATTATAAACCTAGGTCTTACATCACCCAAAGCAGTGATAGTGAAGGCAAAGATAAACAGCTGGGACTACATCAAATTAAAGAGCTTCTGCACAGCAAAAGAGACAGTAACCAAAACAAAGAGACACCCCACTGGATCGGGAAAAAATTTTTTCACACAACACTAATGATAAAGGACTGATCACAAAAATCTACAAAGAGCTGATGAGACTCAACAAAAACAAAGTATATAATCCAGTCAAAAAATGGGCAGAAGAGCTAAAAAGAGGAAATGCAAATGGCCAACAGGCATATGAAAAAATGTTCAACATCACCTGTAATGAGGGAAATGCAAATCAAAAAAATACCATGAGATACCATCTTACATCAGTGAGAATGGCACATATTTAAAAAACTAGCAACAACAAATGTTGGCGAGGTTGTGGAGAAAAAGGAACTCTCCTGCACTGCTGGTGGGAGTGCAAACTGGCCCAACCATTATGGAGAGCTGTGTGGAGATTCCTCAACCTGCTCAAGATGGAGCTTCTATATGACCCAGGAATTCCACTCCTAGGTATTTACCCCAAGGACACAGAAACATCAATTCCAAAGAACACCTGCACCCCTATGTTTATAGCAGCACTGTTTACAATAGCTAAGCTTTGGAAACAACCCAAATGCCCAAAAATAGATGACTGGATCAAGAAGATGTGGTACATATACACCATGGAATATTACTCAGCAATCAAAAAAGATAAACTCATGCAATTTGCAGCAACATGGATGGAGCTGGAAGGGATAACGCTCAGCAAAATAAGCCAGAAAAAAAAAAAAAAGAAAGAAAAATACCAGATGGTCTCACTCATAGCAGGAATTTGGAAAACCTAAATAAGGGACCAGGAAAAAGACTAATTATAATAAAGTAAAAATCAAAATCAACAAGTAACTATAAATCAGAGACAAACTATGAGGGGGGGGACAGGAGTAGGATCAAAGCAAGGGGGTGTGGGAATTGTATGGGGACTATAACCAAGATGAAAATGCATGCATTGTGCAAAAATGAAAAATATTAAAAATATATAAAATTTTAAAAATGATACATAAAAAAATTTTTAAAAAATAAACCTGGGTCTTGGCCTTTGGAAGTTCATTTTCCCTTATGCTGTGTTTATTTGGAACATATTGCACAGCAGCGGTGAGCTAGTCAGACCCAGGGAAAACAGATGATTCCTACCTCTCCCTGCTCCTGGGAGGTGATTTGAGGTTTCAACACTCCCTAACTTAGTGGCTCTCCTGTTAATGGCAGAAGGAGAGAATTTACCAGAACTAGGACAATGATGAACACTCTAGTAGAACAGCCTTTTTGAGGTCTAAAGAGGCCAACTGTAGGGAGCTGGGGAGCCCAAAAAGGCCCTTGGGCATGAGCAGAGGCAGTAAAGGACAATAGAGCATTCCAGAGGATGGTCTATCTGAATGGCCTACACCCCATGCCTAGTGGCATGTTTAATCTATTGATCAAACTGTATTTTAGGTTGAACACAAACCAGGGTGCACACCATTGTAGGGGCTGTTCCTGCTCCCATTCCAGATCTCTTCAGACAACAGCTGCCTTTAGCCAAGTCCCCCACCCCTGAGTGTTGTTGTTGGAGAACAGCCTCTGCCACCCCACCCAGCAGCCATCCAGTAGTGAGAGGCACTATGGGCAAGAAAAGATGTGACCCAGCTAGCCCAGGCATGGGACCAGAGTGTGACTAATTGTGGCATCACCCATTTCTACACCTGTGCTTTGAGTCCCCTGTATTACTAAATTGCCCATTTGTTTTCCAGGGACATAACCGACCCACCCACACTCCTGCTTTGTTTGGGTGCTTCTCTTTTTGAGTACACCTCTTCTCTGTTTGGCTTCTCTGAAGCTTCCCTTTTCATCCCAGGCCAATAGCACAGCACATCCCAAATGTGACTGCACAATAACAGAGGCGGTACACAGGGAGTCCTCTCTGACTCTGACCCTGTAGGGAACCAGCATGTGGGCCGGAGCGGGAGTGAAAAGAGCTCCACATTTAGAATCAGAAAACCTGCATTAGCGTCAGCAAACCTACATAGCTGTTCACTGGCTCTGTAAACTTGGAAAATCCCCTGCACCGACTTCTGGAAGCCTTGTTTCCTTATTTATAAACTGGAGATAATAATGCCCATGAGCAGGTGCCATCCTGCAGGCATCTGAAAGGCTGTGCTAAATTATAAAGCCAATAAATAATGTATGAGGTCAGTCATGTAAATGGCACCTCAGAGACAAAATGTTTCCTGTGCCAGCTACAAAGAGAGAAACAAATTAGCTTCGTTTGTATCCGAGGTATTAATTCAGAACACCAACAATAACAGCAACAAAAGAGATGCCCATCAGGATGCAGAGGTAACTCCACTTAGAATCCAGAAAAGTGACTCTCAAAAGAGCAGCATTTGACCATCCCAATCCAAAGAAGAGGAGACTAGAGTCCTACAGTTCCATCAGCCCAGTAGCTGCTCAGCCGTAGTCCATCGAACACTGGAATTGTGGTCCATTCTCACCTGAAAAAACCGTGGGGTACTCATTACCACATGGTTTCCCCAGAGGGACAGAAGGGACCAGTCAAGAGATGCCCAGTCTTGACAATTTCTCCTCAGAGGAGCTTATAAGGTACTACTTAGATCCCCACCTAAGAAAGAATTTTACAAACTGCCAAGTTCAGAGTACCGTTTAACATCCTCAAGTGCCAAGTTTCACTAGGCCACTCTAAGGACCTGTTTATCTATCAGCCATGACATCTGGGTCCACCTGACCTGTTTCCACAAGAGCCCAATCACCTCAATGAATTCTGAAAGAAATCCAAAAAGGAGTTGTTCTGTCAAAATCTGCAGGATGCAGAAAGAACCATCTCTGTCCCCAGCCCCTGCTTGCCTATATTCTCCAAACCCGTTCTGTCACAGACACACCATCAGTTGATCTCCAGATCAACTGGTAATGTAATTTGCCTTCTAGCATTAATCCCATCCTTCTTTAACAAAAGGAAGTCTGGGGGCCTCTCTGGTTGTGCAAGGGGTTAAGACGCAGCACTATGAAGCTGTCAGCAGCCACTGTAGCAAGAGTTCGATTTCGGGCCAGGGAGCTCACCCACATGGTGCAGCACACCTTCCTGTCTTGCCCGCTGCTCCACTCAGCAGTGTATTTCAGTAGATCTGCCTGTTCTGCTCCCCACCCTGCCTCTGGTGAATCCTCTCTCACACCCCCACACCTCTGGCCTATACCCCAGTTCTTGTATGCATAAATAAATAAATCTTTTTAAAAAAAAGGAAGTCTGATTAACAACAACTCTGCCAATAACTGCTTATTCCACCTGCCAAATACTATTTAAATATTCCTCTCAAATTTGTAGCTGTCTCTTTTACAACTCCATAATCTCTCTTCCTAGGTTCTGGCATTCTAATTTCAGGGACATTCTTTTGAAGTTCTCAGTGTTAAACAGAGTAGGGATTTAATTTCTTCTTAAACAATAAGAGAAATATGTAGTCATAAAGAAAACATCTTTCAAAAGAAGGAACTATTATTCAGAATATAAAATTGGAAAACTTCCAGAGAACAGAGATCTTTTATTTTTAGCCCCTTCAGCTGCTAGGAAAATCAGTTTGGGACTTATATCACCAAGTTTAATGGTGAAGAAAAGAAACAAAAGTGAAATTACCGAAATAAACAATTTCATTAACTTCAAAATCAGTCAGTTCAAAATCAATTAAATTTGTAATACCCTTATTGAGGACACAAGTAGTGAATTAATAACAGTGAAAATTAGTTTTCGGGAATACAAAAGGAGTGAGACTTTTGTAAATAACTGTTGACATTACAGTTTCCTAAATCAATAGAGATACATAATTTTGTACTTGCACATCTCTTTTTAAATCCTGAATCAAGACTTTACATATACTTGCCCTTGAACTAGTCCCATAAATCAGTTTGGAAGTGACCCAGTTTTTGCACATGAGTCATAAATAAAACCAATGTATCTAGGGCTCGTCATTATAAGACAAAGGGACTGAGATACAAATATGGTCCATAAAACTTATAAAGAAAATCTCTCTGAAGTATTTATAGAAGGATAACTCCTTCTCAAAGGTGAGGGCATAGGAGATAAGGAATTGGGCATGGAACAAGAACTGCTGATTTGGAATGCACAAGACAAAACCTAGACCTTACAAGATAAACTAGAAGTTAGCGCATAGAACTTCACACTCACTTCTTGGGCCAGAATTCTTGAGTACCTTCCATCTGATAAGCACTGCACTACATGTCAGACAACCTCCTACTTAATATTGGCATTGGAAATCTATGGGTTTTTTCCTTGAAGGTATAAGTAAGCCTTGTATAAAAGGAAACGCTCAATTAAAAGTAACCAGGGTCTGAGCCCAACCATTAATTTGCTAAATTGTTGTTCATTTCACCTCTCAAGGGCTCATGAGAATAATGAAGGAATTGTATTCAATTATCTATAAAATTGCCTTCAATTCTAAGAGACTCAGAATCAATAGCCCCTTGAATGCTCAAATTTGGCTCATTCTCAAGCTGCAGGTGAGTCCTACCAAGTTCATGTCTGAAAAGGAGGAGGCTCTATCTCACCCATCTTAACAGCCCACTTTTGGACACAAGAGCCTCTATTACTCCCAGGACTATGTTGAGTGTATTCTCTCACGGTGCTTGGCACGGCCCAAGTAATCCCCGATGATCTTCACTTAGTACAGCTACTGATGAAGGAAACATTTGAAATCAGAAAATGTCAAACCAGCCAAGCAGCAACTTCTTCTTTATTCTAGAGGCAAGTCAAGTGTGGGTCATAGAGGATCACTGTCCTGCACCAGGTCAACGAGGCATCTATCTCCAGTCTGTACCATCACATCAACGTGTTAATAGAACTGGTGTTGAGCTAAAGCATCCATCTAAATATTGCCATATCTGGTGACTACAGTTCTAACTCCTCCAAAAGACCAAAACCCCAAATCTTAAAAAGTCCAGGATCCTTGGGCCTCCCCTGGTGGTGCAGTGGTTGAGCGCTGGGCTGCGAGGCTGCCCACAGCCTCTGTAGCGCCGGTTCGTTCCCCAACCACTGGCGAAGGTCCCACAAAAAAAAAGTCTAGGATCCCCCAACTTATCTCTGCCTCTCACAGGTCACAGGAAGAAAATTGAAGACCACAAGCTTTCAAGTGATGGGTTGCTTAGCAAGAGATCAAGAGCTAGAATTCAGATTAGCATTCATTCTTAGTGTCCCTCTGCTTCCCATTTCCATTCCCTCATCCTTCCATAATCATCTACTATGTGCCTAATATTGCCCCTGGTGCTGTAACCAGGCTCATACCAAGACACTGAGCTCATTCTAGGCAACTCAGCTGGGCAGGCAGAACACAGCTGGAGCGAGGCTGGCCCTAAAAGAAACCAATGAAACCCTGAACAGAGAAAGCGATGACAAAAAAGAAAGAAAAGAAAAAACTATTCCTTTAATATCCCAGGCAATTCCTTCCAACAGGTGAAGACCCCTTACCCCAGTTTTCACCTTTCTCCTGCTAGTATTTTTCACAGCAGCAGGTCAAATCTAATCTTTGTAGATTCCTCCAAGGGAAGTAGTTGGAGAGGAGAGTGATATTAGTTGATGAGATGGAATTAGTTAAACTGACTCCTTGGGTGTGTTACACGCTTTAGTAAATCAGAGATAATGAATTCCACAGAGAGAATATGAAGGAAGGAAAAAATAAACACAGAGACTAAATATGCTTCATTTCAAGGACAGCAAAGGGACTGTCATAGAAAGTTCACCTTAGAAGCAGCCAAAGGGAAACACTGGCCTTAATTATTTACCTGACTGGTAGCAGTCTCTCTTGTTCATCTTCTTCACTTAAGAGTTCTTTATCCTTTCAAAAGCATTTTGGCTTCGAAGAGATAGCCTTCGGTTTCTCAAGGATTAGAGAACTTCCTGTCAAAGAGAACAAGGACTTGGTTACTGAGAAATCATTTGTTCACTGCACTCCCTGCTATTATTTATCACCATGGTGGGACTGTCTGGCTCAGAAATTATTCAAGGGGAGGGAATTATTCAAGGGGGTGACCTCAGGAGGTACATGAAATACAAATATGATAGCTTTAGAGTGGCTACAAACTGACAGAAGATGAAGGTTAATTCTCCTCTACTTGAAAGATGACCATACTTTCAGTGGGGCAGAAATGAGGCTTCATGAGTTCTGGGGCCAGGTCATAAATAGGCACGCTTTCCATCTGGCTCTCATGCTCTTGCTTGCTCTGGGAGAAGCCAGCTACTCTGGCATGAGGATACTCAAGCGGCCTGTGCAGAGTCTCCTGGGAGGATATGATCTCCCACCAATAGCAAGCACCAACTTGCCAGTCAGATGAGCGACCAACCTCAGAAGAGACCCTGCAGCCCCAATCAAGCCTTCGGATGTCCTCAGCTCAGAGGACATCTTGAAGACTATGTCTCATGAGAGGACTCCATAAAATCCTAGCTTTCCACTCCATGATTCATGACCCATGGAAATCACAAAAAAATAACAAATATTTGTTGTTTTTAAGCCACAAAGTACATTTGGATAATTTGTACACAGCAATAACTAACTAGTACAGTAGATGACACTGATTTGTTCTCACCTTAGGAAGATCCCACACCTAAGATGAGCAAAGGACCAGAAGAGGATGAGTATAAAATATAAAAGGGAGTAAGAGAGATGGAGGACTCTTCTCCTACCCTGGCCTTCACTTATCCCTGCTTTGTCTGGATTTCCAGTTCTTCCTTGCCAGTATGTTCTTGCTTGTCCTCATGTGTGCTAGCTTTATCTCATCATTTGGACACTTATCTTCTTAAGACAGGAATAGAGATCACATTGCTTCTATGTTACTCATAATGCCTAAGAGGTAAATGGACTAGATGAACCAAGACAAATGGGTAAAACTGGCAGGCCAATTATGACTTAGTATCAGGAGGAACATTCTCACAGATTTGCAAAGAATTTGTGGTAGGGCAGGAAGCTTCAGATGGGGAATGAGCCATAGAGAGTTGATTTGTGTACTGTGCTTGCAAAGCAGGTTCTCAGAGATGGAAGTACACTGTTACTATCACTGTGACTTTGGTGGCTCCTTCAACTCCCAGTATATGTGTAGCCCTCTACCACACTGTCTCTGAACTTAGCCATGTGACTATCTTTGTCACATGGGACATTAACAAGAATGATGCAAGTGGAGGTTTGATAACTACTTGTATAATAAGGCTTGAACACTCCGAGAACCCAGCTCCCATTCTGTGAGAAAGCAAAGGAGTCTTGTGGAGGTGAACCACGACACCCAACCAACAACTCCAACTGAGCCTCAGTCAGCAGAAGCACCAATCCTCAGCCATGTGAATGCTGCTATTTTGAATCTAAGAGCTATCCCATTTAGCTGACGCAAAATGAGACAAGAAAGCAACTGTGGTTATCATCAGTCATCAATGTTGGGGGGATGAACTGCATACCTACAGATAATGAAAACAAAGGTCATCCCAAAAAAGTAGGACTACTTCTTATACCACATTTATTCATCTGTGATTCAAACCAGAATGTGTCTAATTATAAAACCTGAGTTCTATCACTGCTTTTCAAATCATGAGCATCAGTAGCTATGAACGAATTTGTAGACCCCAAAGTGTCTTACAAATGTTCTCACTAGTATAGATATGCAGTTTTGCTACTGTTTTCCTATATGGCTGCCTCTAATGTTATTTTTGCCTTGTGTTTCTTTTTTTTTTTCTCCATCTTTCATGTTAAGATCGCTCAACTACCTAGAGTATCTTTTTTTTTTTAAGATTTATTTTATTTATTTATTTATACAAGCAGTGGGCACAGTCAGAAGCACGGGAGGGTGAGAGAATTCACCAGAGCCAGAGTGGGGAGCAGAGCAGGCAGAAGGACCGAAGTACACTGCTGAGGGGAGCAGCGGGCGGCAGGAGAGGTCTACACGCCATGTGGGACCCTCCTCTGGTGACCAGGGAGCAGCCGGGGATCGAACCAGCGCTGCAGAGGCTGCGGGCAGCTTCGCAACCCAGCGCTCAACCGCTGTGGGCAGCTTCGCAACCCAGCGCTCAACCGCTGCGCCACGGGGGAGGCCCTACCTAGAGTATCTTCAAACAACGCTAGAGGCCAAAGGCGCTGCTGACCCCTGATGTAGTCCATCTTTTTTTTTTTTTAAAGATTTATTTGTTTATACAAGAACTGGGGTACAGGCCAGATACACGGGAGGGTGAGAAGATTCACCAGAGTCACAGCGGGGAACAGAACCGGCAGACTGACGAAGTACACTGCTGAGGGAAGCAGCGGGCGAGACAGGAAAGGTCTGCTTCGCTATGTGGGATTCTCTCCAGCTAGCCGGGATCAAACCGGCACTGCAGAGGCTGCGGACAGCTTCACAGTGTGGCGCTCAACCGCCTGCACCACCAGGGAAGCCCTAGTCTATCTTCTTTACCAGACTTCATTTCCAAATTCAAGGAACAATAAAGCGGTGGTTTCTCCATCTGCAGAGTCTGGAGATCATAACCTATCTTTCAGGACTTCTGAGAAGACCTAGCAAGAAAGAGGCTATAAATCCCTACCCAAAACTAAACATAGGCTTCCTGGAAAGACATTCTCTCCCCTTCTCCCTTTTAGCTACTCATGTGTAATTCATGTGCCTGTTCCTTCACACCTCTGCCATGACAAGACTCAGTCAACTGATCTACTCCTTACTGAAAACCATGAAACAAGGAAGTTCTAACTCCAAAGCGATACTTGAAGTTCTGCTGTGAATTGATATAATGTAAGCTATCTTGGATCCTTTCCCCTTTCCAGAAAACATAATTACATCCCTATCCCATGACTCCAGAATAAAAAAGAACTCTGCTTTCACTCAAAAGATAGAAGACATTTTATAAAATGATAATGCGAAAGGAGGAGAAAGAGATACGACTAATAAGAACTATATTCACAACATCTATATTATGAATATATATTTATATCTCAGCAGGCCCTGCAGAGTTACAGATGAGCTAATTAAAATGCTTATGCTTTTAGCAATGATGTTTATTGAAATCATTTTATAACCATCCAAATTGAGGTTTGTTTTCTATGCAGTGCTACCTGGAATATTTTGACCTAAATTATTTATATGCCTCAAAATATATTGCCTTCCCCATTACTGACTTCATAGATACAGCTCAGGATATGGAAATTTTTGGTGAACCAAAGTGGCTCCTACAGGATTTCCCTGCCTCTTCTGTGTCTACTAAGACAGGGACAAAGCATGTGTGTGCAATAGGAAGTCTATCAAGGGATAGGAGGTTGAAATAATCCACTGAAAAATGATGATTAAATGCTATTCAGTACAGCTGGTAAATGGACAATTGTTATGCTGGATTCTGGTCCCAGCTCTACTTTAGCTCTCGGGCATTAAGGGGGAGGGTGTGACTACAAAAGAATAGTACCAGGAAGTTGTGGGAGGGGTTGGAATTGTTCTGATTTCAGATTTCAGTGCTAGTAAATTGAATCTATAGGTGTTAAAATGCCTAGTAACAAACCTCCAAAAAAAGTCAACTTTATTGTACATTATTTTTTAATTTAAATGGAAAAAATAAATGACAATTATTGTCTGTTCAATAAATGATAATTCTACCTCCAAATTTTATCTGGTATTAGTCCCTTTCCCTTCATTTACAATACAAGCTCTCCTGGGCTTTTGTAATAGCCTGCTAAACAGTTCCCACACATCCATGTTTGTCCCTATAATCCATTCTCCATGCTACAATTAGAGTTCATGTTACTTCCAGGCTTAAATTTTTCAAAGACTTTCCAGTGTGCTTGAGTTTAAACCCAACACCTTTCACATCCTGCAGTCAATATGCTCTTACCTTGCTTCCCTCTCTCATCTCATCTACCCAAAAACACAATGAATTCACTATGTTCCTTTCAATAGCATAATTCGTTTTGGTCATAGGGTCCTTCTCACTTGCTTTTTCCACTGACCTACACTTCCTCCCTCTCATTTACTGAGTAAATCTTCCTCCTTCAACTCTTAATGTCACCTCTTCCTTGACCAGTCATCTAAATTAACTTCACCAATATTACTTTTTATAATATCCATTTCTTTACCTTTATAGCACCTATTCCAGCCTATAATGAGGTGAGTACATAGATGATGATTGGTTCTGCCCCTCTAGGATGTCATCTTCAAACCAGACCAGGCTGTGTGTTCATTGTTTGCTAGTATCTGCTCACAAGAGTTTACGATATAGCATTCAATGAGGTCAGTAGCTTGAAATCTGCCATGGTAGGAGTATTTATACCAGAGAAATTGGCAAGTGCTATCAATCAGGGCTTTTCTTTTCAAAAATCTGGTTTAACAGCACATCACTGTTCACTCTCTGCCTTGTTCCTAGTGCCTGACATGGAGCCAGGAAAACAGACAATTCTTAAAGGGTTTGTTAAATAAATGATAGCTATGGTTATTGATATTGGTAATGATAGCTATGGTTTCTTACAGCAACCCTTTGATTTCAAGTGGGGAATCTTCTGGTCTTCATTTTACAAATAATTTATTTGAAGCTACAAAGAAGTTTTCCAACTTATGCAACATCATATAGTTGGAGAGAATGCTTAGGTTGTATGTAAAACATATATTCTGACTTCCAGTTTAGTGCTCTTTTCATTGACCTTACCTAAACAAATGCACACATATGTTGGGAATGTATGAAGTCAAGATTTGGGGGATTGTTAAAGCATGTTTTGAGAAAGAAGCAGAATCCTTGAGTCCAAATCATAGAGATTAGTAATTATACTGATTTTCTATTCATCCATAGAAAGGATTTTCCAAGCTATGCCTAAAAGTCAAAGTACAATTCAAAAAATAGAAACCTCAAGGTATTTCAAACTAAAAACATATTCACTATGTTAAGTATTATGT